TAGTATATATTAGCAACATTTTCATTAATAATAATAATAATAATATTAATTTTATTTTTAAATATTATTATTTTAAATATTATTATCATAAACTTTGTATGTAGATGCAGCTGCAGCAGCTTCGCCGCTGCTAGCCGATGTGCTAATCTTTTCTTTACTTTATTTTTTATTTTTATTTGTTTAATTTGTTTAATTTGTTTAATTTGTTTTATTTGTTATTCAACTGTCTCCTTAGCAGTGTCTCTGTCTGTCTCTCTTTCGTCTCTGCTTTTTTATTTATTTCTCTCTCTGCTGTTATCTTCAATGAATAAACTTTTATTTATTTGCTGCTAATCTTCTGTCTGTCTCCGATGCATTTGCTTTTCAGTCCCCTTAATTCTTAAAGCTGCAGCTGCTGCTGCTGTTGCTGCTGCTGCTGCTGTTGCTGCTGCTGCTGCTGTTGCTGCTGCTGCTGCTGCTGCTGGTGTCTCTTGCAGGGAAAGACGAAGGAGACGCAGAAGACAACCCCGCTGATGTTTTCTTCTGTTTATCTTTCTTTTCATCGTAGGCTGTTGTTTGCTATTTTATTATTTTTATTTTATTTTCTTTTGTCTGTCTCTCTCTCTCGCTGCATCATCTTCACAAACAAACAAAAGCCTCCTTCATTCCCGTCTCTAGAGACAGCCCTTTCAGCAGCCCCACCAACACCAACAGCAGCAGCAGCAGCAGCAAGAGCAGCAGCAGCAAGAGCAGCAGCAGCAGCAGCAGTTCCTGCTGCTGCTGCTACTCTTCCTGTTGCTGCCTTGCTGCCGTTGTCTGCTGAAGACAGTTTGCAGCTGTTTGCTGCGCGTCTGGGTCTCGGTCTGCTGAGGCAATTAGGAAATTCTTTCTTCGTTCTTATCTCTCCGCGCTCTCCTTCCAGCAGCAGCAGCAGCAGCAGCAGCAGCAGCAGCAACAGCAGCAGCAACAGCAGCATCGAGGAGTATTACCCTGAAGCCGTTCGCAGGTTTCTGGAGGCATGTTTAGTTTATTATGTTGCAGACAAAAAAGGAAATGTAATTCCTGCAATATATCCATCTGCGCATACACTGCAACCTTCAGCAGCAGCAGCAGCAGCAGCAGCAGCAGCAGCAGGAGAGAGTGGGTGTGTAGCTGCATGTACACCTGGACAGGCTTCGCTGTCTTTGTGTATTTTGTTTATGCGGAGAGAAGATGCAGTTGCTTATAAGAACAGCATAAAAACAAATAGTTCAAACATAAACATAAAATGTCTCTCTCTAGCAGATGCCTTCCCTCTCCTACGGTATATACACCCCAGCGGCAGACAAGCAGCAGCAGCAGCAGCAGCAGCAGCAGCAGGGAGGGGTTGGAGTTTTTCTCGTCGCTGCATGCATTGGCTGGGGGGGCTGTTAAGGCAGAAGCAACCAGGATATGCATATAGCAGCAGCAGCAGCAGCAGCAGCAGCATTCCTCTTCAGTTTGTTTTGATGCCGTCTTCTGCAGCATTAGCAGCAGAGCTAAAAACAAATAAAACAACTTCAGGAACTCCTATATACACTCTGCTGCCCATTGACCTCACCCGAAAAACTCGTAGAAACAAAACCCTCAAACAACAGCTGCAGCAGCTGCAGCAGCAGCAAACGCAGCAGCGGCAGCAGCAGCAGCAGCAGCAGCCTGGGTATCATTTGCGGTTGCGAGAATTATCTCCCGATGTTTTTGTGTTTGTTATTGCATTTAAAGGCGAAGACAAAACGCCTTTCTTCTGCAGCGAAGAGGAAGCAAAGAGAGCTGCTGCGAATTATTGTTTATCTTTACCTTCGTCTCTTCACAGTTTACTGAAGCCCTTTATAAATATAAACAAACAAACGCTAGAAGAAGTAATAAACACTCTCTCCTCCTCTGCATACACTGCAAAGGGTAATAACAAACAGAAAGAAACAGCAATAGTACAACAGCAAAAACAAAATCGAATGCAGCAGCAGCAGCAGCAACAGCAGCAGCAGCAGATGCTGCAGCCGCTGCTGCTGCCAGACTTGCGGGAACTTGCCTTTAATAATAAAGACACGAAATTCTTTTAATTTGTTTTGTTGTTTTGTTCACTGCGCATTTATTTTTTTCTGCCTTTGTCTGTCTATCTTCGCCTCAAACTTAAGACGGAAGACAAACAAAACCCTCAAATAATATATATTATATTAATTGCACAACATAAATAAATATATAAATATGTATGTATATTTATTTACATCTATAGATATTGTTGAAATGCCTTACAACAGAGTGACAGCCAGCAAACAAAGACAAAAAATTATTTTTAAACAGCTTAATGAGCAAAACCTAAGAGAAGCAACAAACTAAAAAGAAATGCTGCAATGAATGAATTGAACATCATCTATACCTACAGACATTATTCACATACATATATATATATATATATTATATATACGTATATTTATAATCTATATTTATATACAATGCATACATAATATACAAGGCCCTAAACAGCGTATACCTGCATATATATATATATATACATATATATATATATATATATATATACTATACATTTGTATATAGACGGAGAAAGCACCCTACAACGCTAAACCCGAAGATTTGGTCGCCAAAGAAAAATTTTAATTTGTCTTTTTATACAGTCGGCCTTTAAAATATATTTGTATATATATATATATTATATATACAAATATATATGTAATGCATAAACCCCTTTAAAAGAAGAAATGCGTATCCTCCTATTGGAGGTAAAACGACGAAAAAAGAAGAGATTTTCACATACACGTTTGTTTGCACTTAAACCGTCATTTGATTAGATATACAAGCGTATACAATATATATATATATTGTATGTATATATATTTATACATATATACATATATATACGTGCACATATACCTATACACACACATGTGCATAAACATTCTCACATACAAATACACATAAATTCGCTGATATATATATACGTATGCACTTATACACATACACACGCAAATACATCTAAATGCACATACACATTCATCTAAATGTATATATATATGTGTATATATATATAAGGGTGGCTTCTAGTGAAGCCTAAAAACATCAGCTGTTGAAGCAGCTGCGGTGTATAGACAGTTGGAGAACTTGTTCGGGTTGCACCCTCGTTACTTTGGCTTGAAGATTATCATAAGATTTGTTGTTAGCTGCATTTGTTTGTTTGAACAAAAGCAGGCGTTGTTGCTGTCGGCCTAACGAAAGGAAAGAGGAGAGGAGGTGTAGTGGGTGTCGTACAGCAGAAGAAAAGCAAAGAAAAACAACAAAAGCGTTCTTCTTATACCCTCTTCATGCTGCTGAGCTTTTATATTTAAAGATCTTAACCACCGAAACCGTACAGAGTGCGGCCTTGTCTCTTCAAAGAATAGACAATATCCATAGCAGTAACAGTCTTTCTGCGTGCATGTTCAGTGTATGTCACAGAGTCCTTAATGATGTTCTCAAGGAAAACCTTGAGAACACCTCTGATTTCTTCATATATCAAACCCGATATACGCTTAACTCCTCCTCTTCTTGCAAGCCTACGAATAGCAGGCTTTGTAATACCCTGAATATTGTCTCTCAACACCTTTCTGTGTCTCTTCGCACCTCCTTTACCCAAACCTTTGCCTCCTTTCCCTCTGCCAGACATCTTGAAGAAATAAGAAGAAGACCAGCAACAAATACAACAAAGATGAGAATAATCTCTCTAAACAGCCTATAAATAACGGATGTGAGAAGCATACACCTGAAGACACACGCACCCATCACGCACCCCTATACACTCCATCAGAGGGGGAGCTGCTGCTGCTGCTGCTGCTGCTGCTGCTGCAGCTAGCCTGCTAGCAGCTGCTGCGGCGAATGCACCGCTCCTCACTTCGCTTTGCTGCTCCTGCTCTTTTGCTGCTGTATAACCACTGTCTTATTCTATTTTTCTTCTTTTTCTTTGCTTTTTATGATGAATTTAAACTCTTTCAATTATATTTAAAGAAAAATCTACATTATTCAGAGTATTGCTATTAATACAGACGCTGCTTACTCAGAGGTAGTACACAGACAGGAGGTGCTGTTGCTGCACTGCAACTCTCTCTCCTCATATGTCTCTGTTTGATTAATTCTTTTTTCTATTTTATATATTAATTTATTTTATATTTCCGTTTTATTTTATCATTTGTTTGATTCAAACTTCCAGATATACTTAGAGAAAAAGACGCAAGCAGCCCACCCTTGCTTTCCGCTGCTGCTGCTGCTGCTGCTGCTGCTGCAGCTGCTGCTGCTGCTGCTGCTCACCCCGTCTCCCCCCCTTTCCCCCCACTGCAGCAACGGTAGGAGAGATTGAGGGAAGTAAAGGATTTTGTCTTTGTATTTTTTATGCAGATAAAATATTCAATTTAATAAAAACAAATAGAGAAACGCTTATTTGACTCTGGGGCCTTCATAAGGAAGAGGAGAGAGCCTAAGGCAATCGCCTATATAATAATTATATATATTTTAATAAATTATATATATATGATAAATCGTTATTTAAAAAATAATGAATATAAAAAGATTAGTCTACTTAAACCGAAAAACATTAAGTGCGAATATATAAATATATTCAAATTATATTTTACTACTCTCTCGCTCGTGTGTACGATGTGCGCGGGGGTTTTAATAAGAAGTTTAATTCTTCTTACGTTTTGTTAATTGGCTGGTGTATGTACACCTCAGTATTTTTGTATTGTACTTACTTGTTTTTTCTCGCATGTCTTCGCTCGTTTGCTGCTGTCTCATGCAGTGTTGTGTAGGAGGCCCACTGTAAGTAATATATGTATATATATATATATATATACATATATATATATATATATGTATATATATGTATTGCTAGTATTATGTATATTCAAATGTTATTATGTGGTGGCTTAGTACTCGCGTAGGACTACGCTATCAACACTTCACGCCCAGTTGCTGCAGCGAGGCAGCTGCTGTTGCTGCAGCTGCTGCTCTTGTTGCTGTTACTGTTGCTGCTTCTTCTGCTGTGGGCTACCAGCCCTTTGCCGCTTGCTGGGGGGCCCCGCAGGAGCAGCAAACTCTGCAGGAGCCGCAGCAGCGGCGGTCGAAGCAGCAGCAGCTGCTGCTGCAGCTACAGCAGCTGCTGCTGCAGCTGGGAGCAGATGGGGTGTACGGAAGAAAGGAAGCTCTGTCCCTGGCCCCTTAAGCTGCTGCTGTTGTTGCAGCAGTTGCTGCTGCTTCTGCGTTTGATTGGGAGGCGTTGTCACCCCTGTTGCAGCTAAGAGTGTGTGGGCTACACAGCGGCCTTCAGCAACAGCAGCAGCAGCAGCTGCTGCTGCTGCTGCTCCGTGGGCCCAGTGCGCCTCTTTTAGTACATTGGATCTGCTAATCTGCTCACAAGCCTCCTGCTGCTCCTGATGCTGCCTCAGCGGCAGCATTGCACTACCATCTACAGCGGCAGCTGCTGCTGTTGCTGCTGCTGCTACAGCAGTTGCTGTTACTTCTTGCGACTGCAGACAACAAGCGGAGACACGGCATTCAGAAAAGCATAAGCACAGCAGCAACTATATCCTGCAGCAGCAGCCAGAGAGAATCCGCTGCAGCTACAGCTGCTGCATGCGCTGCAACAGCAGCAACGCAGCAAAGGCCCTGCTGCAGCAGCAGCCTGCGTGAATTCTTTTGAATTTGTGTCTCAGATAAAAGCCCTCACTTGCCCTACTTGCAATTGCTGCACCATTGAACAATCAGGTGACCACTGTTGCTGCTGCTGCAGCAGCAGAGTTTGCTGGTGCTGCTGCAGCAGGGTTTGCTGGTGCTGCACTTGCTGCTCGTGGGAGAAGGAAGAGAACCGAACAGCAGGCAGCGGCCTCTGGTGCAGCAGATGCGCATGCATGTCATGATGCAGCAACTGCGTAGTAGTAGCGTCTGCTGCTACCGCTGCTGCTGCTGCAGAGTTTGCTGCTGTTGCTACTGCTTCTAACCGCCTAGGAACTGGCAGCTGCACGTGTTCTGCTGTTGTTGCTTGAGGCTGCATCTCCTGCTGCTGCTGCTGTTGCTGCTGCTGCTGTGGAGAAGTTCGCAGTTGATTGAGTGCATGCGAAAGCATCTCAAGCCTTTGGTGAGACTCTAGCAGGACCTGCTGCTGCTGCTGCAGTTGCTGCTGTTGTTGTTGCTGCTGCTGCTGAAGCAAAAGGATGTGCTTTGAGTGCTGCCTGCCCGTTGGGGCTACAGGCCCGAGATGGGCTTGCTGCTGCTGCTGCTGTTGCTGCTGCTGCTGCTGGCATTGGTTTTGTTGCTGCTGCTGCTGTTCCTCCTGCTGCTGTGCCTTATTGCTGGCGGAGAGAGCAGGTGATGTGAATTGCTGCAGCCCCAGCTGCTGGTGTTGCTGCAGAAGCAGCTGCTGGTGGTATTTTTGCTGCTGCTGCTGCCGATGCAGCTGTTGCTGCAGGTGCTGCAGTAGCTGCTGCTGCTGCTTCAAGTCAAGCTGCTGGAGTTGCTGCTGTCCCTGTAATGGATGCTCCAACTCGAGTGGCTGCAGCAATTGGTGTTGCATTTGATGCTGTTGTTGATGCTGCTGTTGCTGCTGCTGCTGCTGTTGCTGCTGCTGTTGCTGTTCCTGCTGTTGCTGCTGCTGTTGCTGTTCCTGCTGTTGCTGCTGCTGTTGCGGCGTTTTCTGCTGCACCTGCTTCTTCTGGCGTTGGGACTTCGCTTTTGCCTGCTGCTCTGAGGCCTTAAGCGTCACACTGGGGTGTATAGCAACCTGGTCTTGCTGCTGCTGCTGCAGCTGTTGCTGCTGCTCCGCGAAAGAGTTTAGATATTTCTTCTCTTGTTGCTGCTTGGCGGCCTCATCGTGCTGCGCTTGAACAACAGAGGAATCTCCGTGCTGCTGCTCCTGTTGCTGCTGCTGCTGCTGCACGTGCGCATGAAGGTTCTGTTGTGGGTAGGGCTGCTGCTGTTGCTGCTGCTGGTAATGCAACGCCAGCGGCAGCTGCTGCAGCTCTTGCGGCGGGGGTATATTATGGAGGTGTTGCTGCGTGCTGTGAGCCTGGATATGTGACGGGATCTGCTGCTGCTCTGGGTGCTGGTGCTGCAGTTGCTGCTGTAGTTGCTGCTGGAGAACCTGCTGTTGCACCTGCTGGCTTATTGGGCTGCAGTAAGGAGCTGCTGCAGCTGCTGCATGCTGGTGAGTTTCAACTGTGCTGCAGAAGGAGGCGTTGTTGCTGCTCTTGCCGCTGCTGCTGCTGCTGATGCAGATGCTGCTGCTGGTAGTAGTGGTGGGCGTTGTTGAGCATAGCTGCTGCTGCTGCTGCTGCTGCTGCTGCTGAGGATACCGCATGCCTGCAGCAACAGCAGCAACTGCCCCCCCGCGTTTCTTTCCCTGCAGCCGTGCTGCAGCAGCAACAGCAGCACTTTGCCGTCTCAAGCGATCTCTCTTAATGGGGCGCTTCCTCTCCTTCGGTGACGCATGCGCAGCAGCAGCAGCAGAAGCAGCAGCAGTAGCCGCAGCGGCAGCAGCAGAAGCAGCAGCAGAGTTGCAGCTCCGTGGAGCACCGCATGCACTGAGTCGAACGGGAACTTTGGGGCTCTCATTTGGGGCAGAGGATGCAGCTACAAGACGGCAACCCACTTGCTGCTGCTGCTGCTGCTGCTGCTGCTGATACTGAAATATTGTTCGCACTGCATATTCAAACTCTTCGTCGGTGTAGACAAAGGGCAACTCCGGATACGGGCTCCAGCGTTTGGGAGACCCACATTGCTGCTGCTGCTGGTGTTGCTGCTGTTGCTGCTGCTGCTGCTGTAGCTGCGACTGGCACTGCCAAGACACCGCATTCTGCGACCACCGGCAGTCCAGCTGATGCTGCAGCACTTGCTGCTGTTGCAGTTGCTGCTGCTGCTGCTGCTTGTTCGCTTCACGCAGCAGCTCTGGCGGCAAGACAGAGGGTCGGCAGGGTACAGGCTGCTGCACCTGCCGCATTTGCTGCTGCTGCTGCTGCTGCTGCTGATGCTGGTGGTGCTTCTGTTGCTGCTGTAGCACAACGGCCCCTGCAGGAAACGCCTTCGTATCGGGCTTTCCGATGGGTGGCTGCAGCAGCAGCTGCTCCCGCGCAGCAGCAGCACCATCTGGTGCATGCAGCGGCCGGTACTGGCACTGCTGATGCGTCTGCCACTGCTGCTGCTGCTGCTGCTGCTGCTGCTGCTGCTGCAGCTGTCGGTAGTGTTGCTGAGGCGAGGCTAAGGGCATTGCCGGAAGCGCCCAGCCCGCGCTGCTGCAGTTGCTGCTGCTGCTGCTGTTGCTGCTACCAGCAGCAAATGTACTGCTGCATTGACTGTGGGGCCAAGCGAGGCGAGCCATTTCAAAGGAAGGCGTCGGTGGGGCACCAATTAAGGTCCGCTGTTGCTGTTGCGGCTGCTGCAGTTGCTGTTGCTGCTGTTGCTGCTGTTGCTGCTGTTGCTGCCTCTGTTGTTGCTGCTGCTGCTGTTGACCGCTGCGTCGAGGTCTGGGTTTGGGTTTCTTAGGGGACTGCAGCAGTAAAACCGTTTGCTGCTGCAGCACCTGCTGCACCTGTGGGGCCGATTGCAAGGCGTCTGCTGCCTGGGCTGTCGTCTCCTCTGCAGATGTCTCCGCTTGAGGGCTGAAGCTCGTTGCTGCTGCTGCTGCTTCTGCTGCTGAGAGTTGGGGGATTAACCCTGCAGAAAATGATGGCGGACTCTTCTTTGGTTGTGCTGCTTTGGCTCTGCTGCGGCGCTTTCTGGCAGCAGCAGCTTTAGGCCGAGGGCTTTCACTTGCTGCTGCTGCTGCTGCTGCTGCTCCCATTACTGCTGATGTTGCTGCTTCTGTTTCCGTTGCTGCTGGTGTCTCTGTTGCTGCTGCTGTTGCTGCAGACGCTGCTGCTGGTGATAGTGTTGTTGCCGATGCGCGTGCCGGCAGCGGAGGCATGCACCGCAACAACCCAGAGGACTCAGAAGCGGCTGCGCCTATAACCGCTGGCTGCTGCTGCTGCTGCTGCTGTTGCTGTTGCTGCAGCTGCTGGTGATAGTGTTGCTCTTGAGCAGGCAGAAGCTGTTCGTGAATGTGCTGTTGCTGGTGGTGCTGGTGCTGATGAAGCTGGTTGGGGTGCTGCTGTTGCTGCAAGTGCTGTTGTTGCAGCTGCTGTTGCTGTAGCTGCTGTTGATGCAGTTGCTGCTGCGGATCTCCCTGCAGCAGAAGCTGCCCATTGCTGTGGGGCAGCTGTTGTAGATGCTGTTGATGGCTCGTGATTTGCATTTGCTGCTGTTCTGTTTGTTGTTGCTGTTTCTCTTTCTGCTGCTGCTGCATCTGCATCTGGAGGTGCTGCTGCTGCTGCAGCAGAGTGTCTTTGCTGTTGCGTGGCTGTTGTTGGTTTGCGCAGCTGTCTGTGTGGCTTAGCGCGTGCTGTACGTGCAGCTCTGTCTCCTCTTTGAATAAAAGAAGAGTTTGCTGCTCTTCAGCTTCTGCGTCTCTGCTAATTTGCAATGTGTTGGAGTCTCTCCCTGAGCACGCAGGGCCCTGTTGCTGTTGCTGCGTGATAGAGGCTCCAACAGGTGCAGTAGCAGCAGCATCTGCATGCAGATTGAGCTGCAAAGGTGCAGCGGGGGTTCCGTTTATCATTTCTTGTCGTTTCTTTATATGCCTACAGTGTATTTCTCTGTTACAAACCAAGGGAGGATCTGCCCAGCAACTGCTGGCGGTGGTAGGGCGAAGTTCTGCTTAAATAACAGCCAACGACAAACAAAACTGAATTATAAGAACAGACAGAGGAGAAAGTAAAGAAAAACTCAAAAATTCAATTACAACGCCGCTCCCACTGAAGAAAGACCTAATATGAGGCGTCGGAGGGAGCAGATGTTGTTGTTAGGGTATATATGAAGCCTTTACATTGTTAAGAATCATTGAAATGCCTTTGTCTTCAAACAAATCAAAAAAACAAGAAAGTTAAGCACTAAAGAGAAACAAAACCCAAACAGACCTCTTGAACAGACCATTGGTCTCGTAAGAGATCCACGGGGCCTCGCTCTATACTTCCATTCTCGCCAAGAAACAGAAAAACTTGAAATTAAAAAACAAAGATAAACAAAAACGCAACAAAATTAAAAGAAGAAAAAGAAGAAAAAAACAAAGACGGTCGAAGGCGGCAGCAGCAGACCGCCGCTGCAGCGCCGCTGTTGCAGCAGCTGCGGTTGAGCCCTTTATGAACGCTGGTTATCATTCGTAATGAATAAGATTTATAATTATATTATTATTATGTAATTTTATATTTTCTTTATCTAAATAAATGTAAGAAGTTGTTCCTTCCGTTTCTTCAGACGTCACCGCCAGCTTCCTCCTCCGCTAGCTCGAAGTGACCCTCCATTATATTTGCTGCACAGCGCATCAGACTGAATTCAGTTTTTTTTAGTTTCAAAATGTTCTCTTTGAAACAAAATCAATAATAGGAGATACACCCGAAATCTGCTGCCTGAGAAAAGTAGGTTGGAGGTTTATATTACGAGAGAGTGTGCGGCCAGTGCAGCCGCTGCGGCGGGAGTCGGCGCAGCATCTGCAGCAACAAAAAATAGTAGGAAAACCTGCTGCTGCAACAGAGATAAAGGTTCCAGGTCTTCTCCCTCAGTTTCTACCCCAACCAAATTCCCCAGATTTTGCTGCTGATGAAGTTTCTTCTATTTTGTAGAGTGCCGCAGTAAGCAGACATAACGCAAATGCTGCAGCACTCAAAACAGAGCTGAAAAAGGCAGCTATTCTTGCTGCGTCAGCCTGCCTATTCCCCCTTCCTCTTGGAAACTAACGAGCACAAACGGAGACAGCCTCCAGATCAGCAGAGCAGTCCTTCCTATCAGCTCCGCCAAGTTAAGCCAACCGCCTCTTTGTAGTGTTCTTAAAAAAATAGAAAAAACAAAAGCTCTTTTTCATATGGTAGGTTGCTGACTAGACTCAGTCAGATGCCTCTTATGCAAGGAGGCACCAGGCAGAAGAGGAGCTCTCGAAATACCCGCAGAAACAAATGCCCACTATACACCTAAACCCTAAACCCTAATAAACCACAAACCCTAAAACACCAACCAATCACGGCTACCGATCCGCCGGGAGGATCCAGACAGTGGCAAGCTGCGACTTTTGTATTTCCTCTGCTGCCTCCCTACGCAGCAGCAGAGGCAAGAGAAGTTGCGGCTACCTCACCATGCACCAGGAAGGAGCCGAGCAGTTGCTGCTGCTGTTGCTGCAGCAGCAGCTGCTGCTGCTAATATTGTTCAATTAGAAGAGCTGCAGAGAGCCTGCGTGAGCAGAGTGTGAGAGACACATTAACAGCAGCCACCACACTCTAACACACAAGAAATAATGTTTGCAATTAGCAAATGTTTGGTGGGCAGCGACGCCGCTATGTGTTGTGCCCTTTGCAACTATTCATATTCTTTCCTCTTTCACGAAACAACAAGAAAGAATAAGATCGGCTCCAATTGGTATAGCCCTTGCACGGTTGTCACAACTATACAGTAGACCTGAAGCAGGCGTGTCTATACACTGCTCTAAAGGCAGCCTGGTTGAATAAACACCCCAACAAACAAATCTGCTGCAGCAACTCTGCTACATGTGTTGCAGCAAATCTGCTGCGTCTGATTCAGCAATTCCGCTGCATTTGCTGCAGCAGACTTGCTGCACCAGATGTGCTGCAACAGATGTAGCAGACTTGCTTCAGCAGATTTACTTATGGCGTCCGTCTCCGAACCACCCACCCCCACGACACAGACACTATGCGCTTGAGGTTAGGGAGGAGGCTGGGCTTGCGTAGTTTAAAAGCAGAGAGCGAACAGGAGAGAGAAGAGGGGCAATTCGTTGTTTTGTTTGTCTACTCTGTCTGACAGACGAAGGAATCCACGTTGAGTCTTCATTTCAAAAGAAAACCTCAGCCTCCCCCTTCTTTGCTTATCAAGAAGAAGTAAAAGACAATAGAAAAAAATATGCTGCAACAAAGAAATCTGCTGCAGAGCTCTTCTTTACTGTACAACTTCGCCTACGGCCCTATCTCTGCATGCACTGCACACGCTCTTCTTTAAACGCTACTAATGGTAAACAGAACAAAACAGATCGCAGCTCCTCGTTTCCTTTATTTAAGATTAAAGGCGAAACCTGCGAGGTGTGGCATGCCTCACCTCACCAAACAAATCACAAAAAGAATGTCTTTGCGCAGTCTATCTCTATGTACAATGGGGGATTTATTATCCATTATTTCCGAAGGAGACAAACACAAAATGCACGCCTCTTACAAAAACAAACGTTAAGGGAACAAACAACCCCTCACTGCCAGAGGGAGATGATAATACGACTTAGCGGCAACAGTCCCCCTAACATCTTTCCTTAAATGCAGCCTTCAGTTGCAGCCCCAATATTTTGAAAAGCAAGATGATGAACGACTGAGTGGAGAAGTATTCCCTAAACAACACTTATTGAATAAAACCCTTGAATAACCGAGCGCTGACACCGTGCGTTGCGAACACAGGTGCAGGCATAATATCCAAACTCCCCCTTTGACGCATGAACTGACACTGCACACGATTGTAATACACTTCCTTAACCCTCACTTGGCCATCTGCACCCCAGCAGACATGCAGAAATGCAGAAAGGAAACAAACACACGACAGAGCATCACTCTACCCTGTGTGTTCTGCTGTCCTTCGCTGGTACCCGAAAATGTGTTAGCATACTGAACATGACTGAAGATATCAATGCGCATAAATTGATGAAATGATTTATTTCCTCTTTTTTCATAGCACAAGAGTGGAATCCTTTCAGTGACCTGCGCCTCACCCACGCAGCTGCGCACACCATAAAACAGCTGCTCCTTAACCCAACCTCCATAGTCTACAACGAAAAAGTATAGATTTCCTTTTTAGTTTTTATTTATTTGCTCTTGGTAGTGGCATGCAAATCAACTACGCGGCAGACCGCGCAAAACGCCTGTGGGGCTGCATGCCTGGAAGTTCAACTTTTTTCATGCGGTGCTGAACTCTGGCAACTTCCCGCGTGTTTCTCCTATCTTCGTGCATTATATTTATTAAAAAAGCATTATTTTCTTTCTTTGTCTCTTTGATCACGGAAACTCGCTATAACTTCACCGGAAGGTGTTGTGTGGGCTGCCGCCAGCATCGCGGAAACTACGACGCCGATAGTTTCTGCAAGTTTCTTTTTAGCGCTTTATTTTCGTATTTTCTTTTTTTTCCCACCATGATGATGTTTCCTGGAATGATGAGGGAAGCTCCTCAGGAGTACATTCCCCCCAAATGGCGCGCTGCATTGCGCATCGTCGGCTTCGTTGCAAGTTGTATTCTCATTGCTAAGTACGGCGAACTCCTAGATATGCCGGAAAACAGCAAACTTGGATAAACTCCTTTTCTATGCACTTCATGCAAGCTGAAGGACCCTCACCGGCAGCACGAAAGAGCCATATCGCTGGGTGCCGCACATAGCCCAATAGCCGCAGCAGCAGGAGCAGCCGTAATCTACCACGAACGGAATTGCTGGCGAGAAGAAGAGAGGCGTTCATAATTAATAATGAATCGCGGATTTGCAGGCAGGTGCAGCTGCAGCCGCTCGATGCATGCGCTGCTGCAAGACGCAGTCAGTTAACTGCTGCAGCGTTGGCTAAGCCAGCAGCACAGATTGCTGCAGCAGCAGCAGCAGCAAGAGCTCCAGCAGCAGATGCTGTACCTGATGAAGAATGTGTCGCAGCAACCCTTAATCAGCAGCTACGACTGCTTCTCAACTCGTAACCCCACAAGCAATCAAGGGATTCAGAAGCAGAAAGAAGCACAGTTGTTGGTGTCAGAGCCATCTAACGCAGAAGCTTCTTCTGTTGCGTTGCTGTTTGCAGCTGCTGCAGCGCCGAGCTGCTTTTACTTTTCTTGCTGCAGGGATACAGACGCCTTTGCTGCTGCAGCGAGGTGCTGCCCTTACAGCGAAGTGCTGCTGACGCAGTGCCTCCCTCCTTATTGAACAAAATCGTTTCAAAAAAATTAAAAATCTGTTTGACTGGAGTTGTGCACAAGTGTACAGAGAGAGAAATAGTGAAGTAGAATTTAAATCAGAAAAGCCCTCTGCCGCAGAGCCCGCTGCAGCGAACAGGCCCAGCAGCAGCATACAGCTAGAGCAATACCTGCTGCTGCTGCTGCAGCAACAGCAGCAAATTTCATTGCATTTGACATAATATATATCAAGTGTTGCTGCGTGCACCGCTGTGGGGTTGCTCTTGCAGCTCCCCTTCTTGTACGCTGCAAGACACAGCTGAACTAGAGCTAGCTGCAACCAGTTGCTGCTCTGCTGCTTCTGCTGCAGCATCTTCTGGCGCTGCGTCCGCTGTGACTGGATCTGCCGCTGCTCCTGCGGTGCTACTCTCAGCTGCGGCTGCTGGTAACGTCCCGTCCGCTGCTGCTGCAGTAGCAACTGCTGCAGCTGCTACTGCAGCTGGTGCTGTAGCTGCTGGTGCAGCAGCTGCTGCAGGTTCACTCGCTGCCGCATCCTCTAGTCCTGTGAGGGCTATTGCTGCAGCTTCTGGTGCTGCCTCTGCTTCAAGCTCAGCAGCAACTGCTCCTTCAGGCGGAGCTCCTGCTGCTGCTGCTTCCGCTGCTGCTGCTGTTGCTGCTGCCGTCTCTTGCTCAAGGGCAACTGGTGAGGATTTGCAGGCCGAAGAAATGTCATCAGTAGCAGCAACAGCACCAGCTGCAGCAGGGGCAGCAGTTGCATCACCAGCAGCAGCTTCAGCAGAAGCGGCAGCTGCATCAAGAGCAGCAGCTTCGGCAGGAGCAGCAGCTGTTTCAAAAACAGCATCTGCCTCAAGGGCAGCAACTGCGGCAGGAGCAGCAGCTGCATCAAGAGCAGCACCTGCAACAGCTCCATCAAGAACAGCAGCTTCATCAACAGCAGTAACTGCAGCAAGAACAGCATCAGTTGCAGCAGCAGCACTTCCACCGGCAACGTCTTCAGGCACTTCAGCTGCAGCAGCAGTAGAACCTTCTGCTGCTGTGCTGCAGTTAATGCTTCCGTCGTCTGTGGCTGCTTGAGTCTGCATCGGTTCAGGGGCTGTCTCAGCTGCGGCTGCTGCTGCTGCTGCTGCTGCGGCTGCTGCTTCTCCATAGCTTGCCGTTGCTTCTGCATTGCTTTCTACTGCTGCTGCTGCTGCAACGCTTGCGGTTGTCGCTGCTGCATCAGTAACGCTGTCTTCCGGTAGGTATGCTGGCGTTGCTGCTGCTGCATTAGTTAATGGTGATAGTGACGCTGCATCAGCGGATGCCGGCCCTTCAGCTCCAGCTGCTGATGTTGCATCATCGGCTGCTGCTGCAGGTGCAGCGGTAGCTGCTGTTGTTGCATCATTTGCTGTTGCTGCAGTTGCTGGATCAGTTTCTGCTGCTGCTGTTGATGCAGACGCTGCTGCTTGTTCGGCAGTTGCTGTGCATTCTTCTGCAGTTACAGCAGCAGGAGAAGCAGCAGCAGCAGAGGCGTTCGACTCTGTCGGTGCAGCCTCAGCCGGCGAACTTTGCTGCTGTTGCTGCTGCTGCTGCTGCTGCTGCTGTAGCTGCTGCAGTTGCTGTTGCTGCTGCTGCTGCTGTTCCTTCTTGTAAACCCGCTCTGCAGCAAGAACTTTAGTGAGGAGCTCCGCTTGCTGCCTGGGCCTGAGTCTGCTGGGCAGCTGCTGCTGCCGCACGCATACAGAAAAAGCTTTAAAGAGACGCTCGAACTGGAGAGGGTCTGAGGCCTTCTGTGTTCTGGAGATAGCTCTGTGAATTGCGGTGAAGACAGGGAAGGTGAAGCAAGCAGCAGCACCCGCCAGCTCTACACCGCACAGCCGCAGCAAATCCTTTAGAAGCAGCTCTAATGCTATTGACCCTACTTCCAGCAGCCGACGCTCAGATGCACACAAACGCCTCAAAGGAAAGCCATCACCTGCTGCTGATGCTGCAGAGGAAGAAACCCCGTCCTGCGCAACAGAAGGCAACACCAGGACAGCAAATTCTGCTTAGAACGCGGCAGTAACAGCTGCAGCAAACTTAAACAATCAAACAAAACAACTTGGTGAGGTGAAGTACAAAGACAAACAGCCAGAAACGCGTACAGACAGCAGAATCAACAAAACAAGAGAGAAGCAAACAAAAACAAAAAAAGAAGAAAAGGCCCCTCCAAACGCAAAAGACAAGAACACGAACGAAGTACAACTACTGAAGAAGCAGCTGCAACAAGGAGTCAACAACTGCTGCAACAACATCCCCACCGCTGCTCACCGTCTCTGCAGCAAACGGAATACCGGTCCTAAACATATCCCAAGGGTCTGAGCCGCTGTCGTCTCCGTCAGCACCGCGTCTCTGCCGGCAATGCACCAACGGGGGGCCCCCATCTCTTTGTCTCCTTCTTCTACGGGGCCCCCCAACACCCCCCAGTGCGCCACCGTACCCATCGTCTCCCTCATGAGGCGAATACCCGCCCCAGCCATCAGCGGGGCCCCCAGGGGGGCCCCCCAGCCCTGGGACCCCCTGAGAAGTGACTCCTTCTCCAGGGATACCCCCAGGGGCCCCGGGGCCCCCCACCCCTCCCGGAGGCTCATAGAGGAGGGGGCAGTTAGGAACAGGAAGCCCCTCTAACTTTAATGATGCAAGCCTAGCAGATATTGCCATTCTACGCGCCTCAGCAAACCCAAATCGATTTGAAGAGAAAACAAGGAGCTGCCGCTTAGGCCCCGCAGTCGTGCAGGTCCAGGACTTGGTGTGTGAATTAAACCAAACACCCTTAGGCACTGAGAAAAAGAAGAAGAGACAAAGACAGACAAAAACACAAAACAACACACGCAATACGCTGTGAAGGGGCGCCAAGGACGTGAGCAGCAGCAGTGACTCCACGAAGACACTGCTCAACAAATCAATCACAGCTGTCGCGCAAACCCTAAACCCTAAACCCTAAACGTTTTAGGCTAAAGTAACCAGAGACCCCGCTAAGGCAGTAGAGGGGGCGCTTAAGCTGCTAAAAGCGCTGCACAGTGCAAAGCTGCAGGGTGAGGAGACAGCAAAAGAAAGGCATTTGAAGGGCTCCTCACCTCCATCAAGCAGAGACTCCGTTCTCGGTCGTTCGTATGTCCCGCCCCCGCTAGTGCGCGTCACAGGCTTCATGCTGCTGCTGTTCCCGTTGTTGCTGCTGCTGCTGTAGAGGCCCCCATTGCTCCGCTGGGGGCCCCCCTCCTCCGGCAGCCCGAAGGCAGAGCAAAGGCCGCTAGCAGCCGCCTCAGCCCCCCGGCCTAACCAACACCACAACAAACACAAACCCAGAAACCCTAAACCCTTACTCCCAGCAAACAGATTGCTGCTGCTGCCTCTGCTGCTCGTGTTGCTGCTGCTGCTGCTGTGGCTTACAAGAAAGAACGCGACGCCGCTTAGACCGTTCAACGAGGCCCCCTGGGTGCTGCAGAGACAAAGACGAAGACACCACAGACACCGAAAGCCATATAAAAAACTGCAAGACGGACGAGTCGCTGCTCATCAGCAGGAGCAGCAGGAGCAGGAGCAGCAGCATGCGCAGCAGCAAGGCGTACGGATCCTTCATCTGTTCGCGTGTCTGTTGCAGAGTCCACAGCTTCATCCTCCTCTCCCTCTGCTTGTTGCAAAGCAGCAATATCTGAATCTGTTGCCTTGGAGCTCCTTCCCGGGGACAGCGCTTGAACAACACTCTGCTGCTGCTGCTTCCTCGAAGTCGTGGCTCTGCTTCTCCTGTTGCCTGCTGCTGCTGCAGGAGAAGCGCCCGCAGCGTGACCCTTCGGTGTAGGAGCAGCAAACAGGTCCTGAGGGGGCCCCCCAGGGGCCCCCCCTCCTCCCGCTGCTGCTTGAGCCCTATCGGCCTCCTTACAGTTGACGGCCATTTGAAACGCTCTCTCGTGTCCGTAGCGTTTCGAACTAAACACTGCAACAATAAAAACACAGACAAGACAGCAACACTCTTCGCATGCTGCTGCTGCAGCTGTTGCTGCAGCTGCTGCTGTGGTCGCTGGCTTCCTCGCCAGTCAGAAAATACATACAACTGTGCAAATACAGGACTATAATCAATAGCAGCCGAACCAAACACCCACGAAACAATATGCACATGCTGCTGCTGCTGCTGCTGCTCCTGCAGTCAAAACTACTCCTACATCATTGCAGCTGCAGGTGCAATGCGACTGCCCGCCAAAGGAGCAACCACTGCCGCCGCAGCAGCGTCTCAACCAGCTGCTGCAACAGACAACAGCACAATCAGCAACAGCAGCAGCAGCAGCAGCACGTACCGTGCAGCCTCTTTCCTACTCCTGAAACGCAAGCCAGCCAACAGCCAGTGGAGCGGTTAAACCAAACACCTCGGGGAACTTTAGAGGGCAAAGATGGGTGAGGACCGCCCCCAGGGTCTTCTACCTCTGCTGTTTCCGCTGCTGCTGCTGCTGCTGCTGCTGTTGATGCTGCAGCCGCAGCCACCGAACCACCTGGCAAGGAGTGCAGAGAAGGAGGCGACGAAGCTGCTGCTTCGCCCCTGATTCGGTCGTTGCTGCTGCAATCTGCAGCAGCAGATTCCGCCGCTTCTGGAGGCTCATGTGAAATTGGGGTGCTGCTGCTGCTGCTGCCGTTGCTGCTGCTGTTCAGAGGAGCCCCTTGCTGCTTGGTTGCTGCGTCAGTGACTCCCGGAACCCCTGCGGCGCCCGCCCTCTGCTCCTCCTGCTGCTGCTGCTCATTCTGAAGCAGCAGCAGTACTTGCTGCTGCTGCTCCTTTCGATCATCAGGCAGTGAGGAAGCCTGCCCAGAACTCAGTGCTGCTGTCGCTTGCTCCTGCACGACCTGCTGCAGTAGTTCTTCCTGCTGAAGCTCTTGCTGCTGCTGCAGCTCACGTAACTCCGGAGGCTCCTGCCGCTGTATCAATTCGTGTTGCTGCAGCAGTCCTTGCTGTTGCAACAATTTCTGCTGCTGCAACAGCTCCTGCTGCTTCAGCAACTCCTGCTGCTGCAGCAGCTGCCTCGCCAGCTGTTCCTCCGCCTCCCTCTGGCTCTGTTGCTCCCGCAACAGCTGCTGGCTTAGTATGTGCTGCAGCTGCTGTTGCTGGAACTGCTGCTGCTGCTGCTGCTGCAGTTGTTGCAGCTGCAAATGATGCTGGAGAACTTGAGAGTTGGCGGAATGCTGGAGAGGATTGTGCTGCGGCATGAGCAGCTGCTGTCTAAGCTGCTGCTCATGTATATGTTGCTGCTGTGCTTGCTGCTGTTGCAGCAACAGCAACTGGTGCTGCCGTCGTTGCTTGAGAAACTCAAGCTGCTGCAGCTCTGCTGCATGCTGCTGCTGAACAGCTGTAGCGGTGACTTGGGAGGACCAGGGCGCTGCTGCTGAGAGACAGTTCTGCCCCTCAGAGTCTACCAGCCAGAGAGTAGAGGAGGCAGCAGCTGGCGCTGCTGCTGCTGCAACAGCTCCTAATGCCAAGCCTGCGTTGGCTGCAGCAGCTGAGGTGGATGGGAACGTCTCCCCCAAGACACCGAAGCTGGTAGGCATTCCCCCAGTAGCGACTTGGCGCTGCGACTGCGCAGCGTCGTCTTTCATATCTCCTCAAAGACCCTAACTCTAACAACCCTTAGCTGCTCTGAGAGGCACAGCATGCGCTGAGGGCCCCCAGCTAAAGGCAACCCAGCAGACACCACCAGGGAAGTAAGAATAAAGCAAAACTGAAGTGATTAGTTACAGAATGAACTAAACCGTACGAGACAGTATAACGTGGGGCCTTCCATACAACAGCGGCCGCTGCTGCTGCTGCTGGTGCTGCCGCTGCGGGGAGAAGGAACGCGAAGCACCAATAGAGGCACAAAAGACTGAAAAAGCCATTCAATAGAGCCCAAAACTAACAAAATTAAAACCGAGTAAAAGCAAGAAAAAACATAGTCAGATCATGCACAAGGAAGGACCTAGTAGCCAACGCTACTGTGAAGATAGAGGCCCGTGGTGCTGCTGCTGTTGCCGCTGCTGCTGCTGCTCTTGAAGCAACAGCAAATAACGCTGCCTAATCTCGTTCGCCCTTAGAAGAGCCTATTCTCTACAGAAAATCGATAATGATATAAAACAGCAAAAAAAGAAAGAATGCTGACTGCTTTCACTGCCGTGTTGAGAGGGGAAAGCCAGCCACGAACCCTGAGCGGTACGTGTGTACGTACAGCCCGTAGACCATGACGGTTTAAATAGCACTTTGATCTGCAGCGAATTCGCTTTAGTTTATTCAGCTTTGTCTTAGAGCCGCCTGCAAACTAAACGTGTTTTTACGCAAAGAGCCTTTGCTACTGCTTTCCCTCGCACTATAAATCACTGTCTGCACTTCTAGCAAGATCAGTGTAGCATGTTCTGTGCGGAGTTTGTAGATAAATAATTACTTTGTCTTAGTAGGTAGCCTGCATCCAAGCACAGTTACCACGATTGTCTACAGGATTTGCGGAGAGACCAATATGAGGTCTAGTTGAGCGTGGATACGAAAGTGCCTGCCAACATTAGTTGCGCACAGGTGCATTACGACTCAGCCAGGCGCCCACCTCTCTTCTACTAGTACCAGTCCCTTGGGCCGCAATGCTCAGAATCTCAGGGGAATGCGGGGGAGTCAGCTGCTGTCTGGGAACGCCTGCTTTACGTCTTCTAGCCTGACCGCGGATCAAGGAGTTCGTCATATAAGATGGCGGACTCCCGCAACACTTGCTAGCACCGCATATTTCATTGGGGTGTTCTCGCTGCGATCAGCGAGAACATCACCAGCAAACAGAGCGGCTTGGTGAATAGCAGTAACTAGTGCCACATATTCAAAAAATAAGCTCACGGAACCTTCCCAACGTTTAAAATAAAAAGTCACCGCCTTTCCTCTAACATTATGCAAACTCATCAGAGTCAACCCTTTGGTGGGAAGGGCCCAACGGTTGGGAGCCTTTTCGCGTTGGCATCAGCTGACTATGTATATCCAATCGGGCAGTGGGGGAGTTTCGTCCTTCTCTGGGGTGGTATATTCACTTCCAAAATGCACTCGAAGAGGAGGGGAATTGAATTCCTATTTTTACTTGGAGGGCTATCGTTTAACCATTAGGCTATGCCATTGATATCTTCGTTGTTCGAGGGGGAGGCATGGCAGTCGTGGTTATATCCAAGCAAA